AAAAACATGAAACATGCCATTGGGCTTTTTGGACATAGACATCTTGGTAGATGATCAGGGACTGCAGTGCTTTTGTGTGGATACTGTCAATGATTAAGAAATCATTTATGGGTCTGGAGAGATAGCTCAAGAACACTGGAGTTCCAGGACAGCTGGGGCTACAGGGAAACCCTGTATCAAAAAGACAAAAACAAACAAACAAACAAAAAAACCAAAAAAAAACATGCCATTGGGCTTTTTGGACATAGACATCTTGGTAGATGATCAGGGACTGCAGTGCTTTTGTGTGGATACTGTCAATGATTAAGAAATCATTTATGGGTCTGGAGAGATAGCTCAGCGGTTAAGAACACTGGTGGTTCTTGCAGAAGACCCGGGTTTGAATCCCAGAACCTACATGGTAGCTAACAACTGTCTGTAACTATAGTCCCAGGGGATTTGACAGCCTCTTCTGACCTCCGCAGGCATTGCATGACATGGGTGCACTCACATACACTCAGGCAATACACGCATACACATAAAATAAAAATACATAAAATTAAAAAAAAAAGAAAGAAACCATTTACAAGGTGGGAGTGGCAGTGCACACCTTTAGTTCCAGCACGTGGGAGGCAGAGGCAGACAGATCTCTGAGATCAATGCCACCGGGGTCTAAATAACAAGTTCCAGGACAGTAGGGGCTACAGGGAAACTCTGTCTCAAAAAGACAAAAAAAAAAAAAAAATAAATAGATAAATAAGTCTGACATTTTATACTGAAGAAATGAATAAAAGCATTAACATTAGGTTACTGAAGTCATAGATAAGAACTCATGAAGATGAAATGGAGGATCTTTATGTAAACACCTAATGTTTGCTTTTGCGGCCATGATTTACAGCTCTTCAGTACATAGCAGCTGCTGTGCATATATTACCACTGGAATGGTATGCATTTCCATTGGTGTTGGATCAGTGTGAGTACTACTTTTGTTTTTGATACAGGGTCTCACATAGTCCAGGCTATCTTTCAAGTTATTAGGTTAGCAGAGTTTGGCCTTGAACTCATGATCCTCCTGCCTCCTCTTGCCAAGTAATGGGATTACAGGTGCACTCTACCATGCCCAGAGACTGGATCCTGCTTTGCTGTTAGAATTCTTTCCTTAACTTTATCAACTTTAGTTAGTGGTATAGCCTGGGGCACCCACTGAGCGGGCGACCTCAGCATGGCAGACCTCAGAACCTCTGGTAGTCTGCGGAAATCAGATATCCAGTCCTTGGATCTGGGTTTTCTTTTCATCTATTAATTTTTAATGATTTTTATAACATTAATTTCACAAAATCATAGGTTTCATTATGGATATATTATTTCTAATGGAGTCTGCCCACCCAGGGAAAAGCTGTTTGTGCCCCTTTGAAAGGCTTTAACATTGAAAAATTTACCATTCATTTAGCGAAATCCCACATATTTTTGTTGAGTGGGGCAGAACCAACTTTGCATGGCCATCGAGTATCTGATGTTCAAACAACACTTATTCAGCTAATGAGGTCTGAGATATCATTATCTTTATCCATGTCAAGCAGGGATTTATAGCCAGTGTGAGGATAGCTTAGTTTTAGAGGAGACTGAAATTTAATAGGTGGCATGGAGATTATTGTGCCAGGAGAAGAGGGAGGAACCAATCTTTTTGGCTTTCCATGTTCTGTGTTCCTTCGTTAATATGCCCAGTCCCATATTATTAGCAGTGTCCTACTGTGTCATATGATAAGTCATATGGATTAAATACCTTACAAAGTAACATCATGTGAATGTTCTCTTTTACTTTTTCTTTCTTGGTACTGAGTCTCAGGCTAAAGGCATACCTCACCATGCATGACAGGGTGCTTTTTCATGGTACGTGTACATAGAGTACATGGTAGTATACTTCATATAATTTGTAGCTAATATAAGTGACGGCACTGTCTGTCAATTATAGTTAAGACCTATACCTACTCTTTTTAAAAATATTTTTATTTTATGTGTATGAGTGTATTGCCTGCATGTATGTGAGTGCACCCGTGTTGTGCAATGCCGCAGAGATCAGAAGATGGCTTTGGATTCCCCTGGAACTGGAGTTAAGGATGGTTTGTAGCCACATGTGGATGCTGGGAATCGAACCTAGGTCCTCTGCAAGAGCAGTCAGTGCTCTTAACCGCTGAGCCATCTCTCTAGACCCTGTATATCTACTCTTATAGGGACTCAGTGGCTTCAGTTTGGGGACATATTTCATACAAATCACATCATGTATTCCAATGCACGTTCTCTAAGCAGACATTTCCTTAAAATTTCTAATCTTTTGTTTTTATATTGCTTTTTGTTTTAGGCTGGCACCCAAGATTTTGCAAGGTGATTTAATACAGCTTACGTGTCTTGGGCAATTGGTTATCTGTTAGGTTTGATTTGCCTCATCTGAGCTTGTTACTGGGGGGCAGTACAAGTCAGTTATCCAGAACAGTTTTGCATAAGTTTGTTCATGATTCACTGATGCAGGTGAGGGCATCTAGCAGTTCTTGATAAACTCTTCTGCACATTGTCAAATCATTTATCGTAATGGATTCCACAGTGGTTTATGTATAATAGTTTCAAGACTTTCTGAGTCTTTTCTGTACTACATTATATGCAAGTTGACTTTGCTGCCAGGTCTTCAAACTTGGAGTAAAGGATGATGGGGTCATGTTCAAAGGAGTCCTAGGTGGTATGGGATGTATGTGGAGAAAGGGAATTTTAGGCAAGAGAAATGCATTACTGAAGCTGGTGGGGCAGTAGGTTAGAAAGAATGGATTCACGTTTAGGAGAAAAGTCCAAGGAAGTGGTCAAAAAAAGTAGTTGATGAGGCTGAAGGATGGGTTGGAACCAGTGCACAGAGATCCCTAAGACAGTGGGAGGCATGGAAGGCCATCATCAGGGACGGGGTGAGAGGTGGGGTGTAGGGTACACTCACCTCCATTGTGATTAATGCTGTTAGACTCCACGAGTGCTATGGTGATGGGCCGGCGCAGCGGGTCATCCTCCTTCTCCAGCTCTGTCTCCCAGAGGATGGCATCCCCGTCCTCACTGAAGTTCTCCTGGGCCCCATGGCCTCCAGGGAACTCCCCAGAGCCATCTTTCTGGCTGAATACTGCCACTCCGTACAGGCCATTGTAGCTCACATGGTTGCTGGTGACATGGGGTAGGCTGGATGACATCATCCACACACCACAGCCCTTATTAGCTGGGACAGTGAAAGGAGCCTGTCACTGACAATCATGAACAGGTGAAGCAGTGCCCAGTGCCACCCCGCCAGGGGAAGCAAAGGCATGGAGACAAGGCATTCACAGCTCTGGCTATGGGCTTCTTCAGACTCAAGGGACAGTGACCAAGTCAATCTCACAAGCCCAGATCACTCCCCAGGGTGTGAAATGCTCTGAGTGAGTTACTGAACCTGCATGCCTCCATCTCCTCATCTTTAAATTGGAGTTAACCGTATCTTCAGGAGGCAGTCATGAAGACTAAATGTGACAATACAGATAGAGGTAGGCTTGAATAAACACTAAGGTTTTTATTAGTGACACAGTTGAGAAAGGTTTAAGGTTTTGCTCAAAGTCACACAGTAAAAATAGTGTTTTCTCTAAGTATTCTGTTTTCTTGTTAAATTATTCCATTATCTGGCCAGGGCATGGTGGTGCACGCCTTTAATCCCAGCACTTGAGAAGCAGAGGCAGGCAGATCTCTGTGATTTTGAGGCCAGCCTAGTTTACAAGTGAGTTCCAGACCAGCCAAGGCCACACAGTAAGACCCTGTCACCACAACAACTCTTCATTATCTGCATTAAAAAGAAGGGCTGGGAGGAGAGAGGACCATGTGTAGGAGGTCCCATGGGCCTCACAGACAACACCCTGCCTCCTACTATCTTTTTTTAAAAATATTTATTTATTTATTTATTTATATGCGTGTATTGCCTACATGTAGTGCACCCATGTCATGAAATGCCCACAGAGGTCAGAAGAGGCTGTCGGATCCTCTAGGACTGGAGTTACAGACAGTTGTTAGTTGCCATGTGGGTGCTGGGATTCAAACCCAGGTCTTCTGCAAGAAGAATCAATGTTCTTAACCTGCTGAGCCATCTTTCCAGCCCTTGCCTCCTACTATCTTAATGGAGCTAAAGCACTGTTGCTGACCTCTTGGTTCAGGAGGTGTTATGAGAGGAGGGCCTTCTGCTGAGAGGTCTGAGACAATGCTTGTTCTGCAAGTGAGGTCTCTGAGGCCTAGAGAAGTTGGCCACCTCAGGACCTGGCCTTCCTGTCTCCCAGGTGGTCTGTACCTCAGACCCCTGCCCTAGGAACACACTTCTTACCATAGATGGTATTTCCTTCTATCAGTCCTTTGCCTTCATTGCCCACGACCACGCCATCCGAGTAGCCAAAGCAGATGAGGTTGCTCCTGAGGACAGGGACCCCTCCTCGGCGGATGTCCACACCTCCCCACTGATTCTCGCGGATGACATTTTCTGTGGAGAGAGGTGGAAAGGTCAGCATCTCTAACTGTCTAGGACAGTTAAGGAAAGCATCCCCCCATTACACACACACTGAGCAGGATACCCATACCTTGTGCTGTTCAGTCAGTGCCCAGAGGCTCACCTGTTGGCTGTTTCAGGGACTCTGTTCTCCTAAGGGCAAAGTCTGTGCCTGTCTTTTGTATGTCCCCACACCCACTCTACCCAGTACCCTTGAGACTGATGAGGAAGAACAAAGTGGCTTTAGAGTCCCAGGCAAATACCATACATCCCCCCACCCCCCTGGCAAATCTGAGAAGGCACTGGCTTGTCCTCAGCCTCAGCTCACACTCTGACTTCACCATCCTGCCCTCTTCCTGGGAGCCACCTCCTTCCCTAGGACTGAGCTAGATTCCCAAGTCAGAAGGGCAGTTCGAATATGGCTGCCTCAGCACTGTGGCAGGCAGCCTTGGCTCCTGGGACTGGGATACGATGGCTCACAAGACCCTGTGTGATGGGCCCCTTCCTGCCTCTGTGACCCTATCCCGTACCTTGCTTGCCACATTCCAGTCCTTCAAGCATCCCTGCTTAGTTATACAAGTCTGTACCCACAGGTGCCCCTGCATGGAAAGTTCCTTTGCCAGACTCCTCCTATCTCTCAGATTCTGGCTTTACCTTCAAAGTAAACCCTGCCATGACCACACGATCTCAATACCCACACAGTCCCTCTATCACCTTATGCAAATGGCCTATCACCCTCACTTGGGCATTTTTTGTTTGTCCATACATGCTCTTATTTACTTTCTTTCTGTTCTAAACTGTCAGCTCCTGAGAGTGGGGATGGTGTCTGTTTCCTTTACTGCTCTTGGAACATGGGCTGCACATAGTTGGTGCTCAATAAATGTTTGTTTTACATGCTAGGAATTGAAGCCAGGTCAGACCTGCTAGGCAAGTGCTCCTCTACTGAGTTATAGCCCTTCCTTCATGGCCCCCAGTAGGTGTTTGATAAGTGATGGCTGGATGCAGTTGGGATCCTAGGTATGGCTTTGTACTCAGGCTCCATTGATATACCAGGTAGGCTTGACCCTTGCCTGATACCACAGGAGACAGACAAAGTGCTAAGAAATTAAGTCAAGGGGCTAGAGAGATGGCTTGGTGATTAAGAGCACTGACCGATCTTGTAGAGGACCTGGGTTCAAATCCCAGCACCCAGATGGCAGCTAACAATCGTCTGTAACTCCAGTTCTAAGGGATCCAATGTCCTCTTCTGACCTCTGTAGGCATTGTACAACACTGGTACACTTAAATAGACACAGGCAATACATGCATACACTTAAAAAAAATCAAGTCAAATGTTCTACAGAGGAGGCAACTTGGGTACAGTGGGCATATCTGTGTATAAGGGGAGGGAGGTTAGGGCATGCCTTCTTCAGAAGGTGACACTAGTTGAGACATAAAAGATAAGATGCAAGAATTGGGCAGACAGAGTTGCAGAGCAGGCAGAAGCCCACATAAAAGAACAGTGGAAGGACTCAAGACTCCCTTCCGTCTGTAACTGGTACAAATGGAAGTGTGAAATGCCAGGTTAGAGGCTGGCACAGCAGGTACTCCTCATGCTATGCTGGGCCCTCCTCATGAGAATCATAACCAGTATAGAGCTGGCACCCCAAATGCCTGCCTGTATTCACAGGAGGAGGTCTGGGGTCAGTAAAGGTGTGTGCAAGGTCCGGAAGAAGGTGGGAGTGAAGCCAGGAGATGGTGGCAGTCTCTATCCTGTACCTGTGATGAGGCCTTTGCCATTCTCGTTCACTGCTATGCCAGCTGCGCGGCCCTTGAAGATGTGGTTTCCACTAAAACAGAAGAAGCAAGAGAAAGAGGTAAGATGAAGGCACCTGTGTCACACTTCAAGGCGCCTTCCTTTACAAATTTTACTCTTCTTGTGTATGTGTGATCTGTGTGTGAGTACAGATGCACACATGCTATGGTGTGTGTGGAGGTCAGAGGACAATTTTTGGAACTGGTTCTCCTTCACTGTGGGTTCCAGGGCTTAAACTCAGGATATCAAGCTTGCACAGTAAGTACTCTTACCCTAAGTCACTTGGCCAAACCCCCATTGCCTTCCTTAGTGGGCTTCCTGATGCCTCAAGTTCACAGGGCACGAACACTTCCTGAAATCCTATAAGGTGAGGACTGGGAAATCTTTGTCTGTCCCTGGGATGGGTGGACCCCAAACTAAACCCACAACCTTGAGATAGAAGTACAATAATACTCAACTGTTCTAGCTTGTTTCTCCATTGCTATGACAAAATACTCTGACCAGTACCAACAGGTCACAGTTCATCAGGGAGCTCAAGGTAGGAACTCAGGGCAGGAGCCTTGAGGCGAGAATTGGAGCACAGGTCATGGAGGAACGCTGCTTACTGACTTGCTCCCTGGCCCTTGCTCAGCTTACTTTCTTATGCAACATAGACCCACCTGCCCAGGGGTGGGACCATCCACAGTGGGCTGGGCCCTCTACATCACACAACAATCAAGAAGATGCCCCACAGACAGCCACAGGCCAGTCCAATGGAGGAAATTCCCCAATTGAGGCTCCCTCAACCCAGGTGTGCCAGGTTGACACTAAAGCTATCCAGCACACCAACTGTCTATGGTTTCTTTATACTTCACCAGTCAATACACACCATTGTACACTGATGTCACCACTACTATGCATGGGTGATAGGGAAAGTCTTGGTAACATGAAGAATTCCCAAGAGCCTTTGCCAATGATGATGCACAGCACATACAGATCACAGCATGCCTGCATACTGAGATCAGGATCTTTTTAAAAAAATTTATTTATGGGGCTGGAGAGATGGCTCCGTGGTTAAGAACACTGGTTGCTCTTGCAGAAGACCCAAGTTTGAATCCCAGCACCCACATGGCAGCTAACAACTGTTTGTAACTCCAGTTCCAGGGGATCCGACAGCCTCTTCCATCTTCCATGGGCACTGAACGACATGGGTACACTTACCTACATGCATGCAATGTTTAAGGGAGGGAGGAGGGAAGGGTATACAAGGAACCTAGGAGATAAGGGGAAAGAAGGAGCTCAAGAGAGGTAGGACCATAGGAGAAGGGTATTATTAAGGGAAAAAGGGGGGAAATGGGGGCACCTTAAGTGGGAAAACTATGGTGGAGGGGTGAGACAATGCAAGAGATAAATAATGCCTAGCTAGTTTTGATTTATTTGAGACCAACTGGTCATTACCCAAGATTTATCTGCAAGACACACAGTAATTAAAAATGCCAGAATGGTGGAACTTACCTTCTTGGATGTTTAACAGACATACTTTGAGGCCTATACTAATTTGGTCAGAGGGACATAAAGGACAGTTTTTGCTCCTTGCCCTCCTAGGTCGACTAGTTCCAGGGAACTATGAGCATCTCCCAAAATGTCCTGTAATTGTTGTGGTTCACCTGTCCTCTTGATGAAGGAGGCCGAGGAGACCCCACCAGATGGACTTGAACCAGTGTCCAGTCTACAAAGAGGAGGGTTAACACAGAGGAATCATTTCCTCCATGCTTCCAAGAGAAGCCAACCACGGCGGAGTAGGACCTTTGACTTATCTTCACATAGGCGGAACTGGTAAAAGAAAGGAGCCAGGGGTTCCTCCCAAGCCCATGTGACCCCTGAGGAACAGATCCTCAAACGACCTTAAGAGTAAAAATAAATTGGTTTATCTGGGCCAACTGTAAGGCCTTAAACATCCAAAAGGAAAGTATAACCAAAGATTAAAGGGGTCAATATAATTTCATAAGAGTCCATATGCATAGCTAAAGGCTACACAACAAGCAACAATGCCAGATTGTTGCTTTTTATGTAGGAGATAACCTTCTTTTTGAGTTGTCGGCCAGAGTAACCAAAGGGACTCCCAGATAGTAACCCAGCATAGAACTGGGAAAATGAACATCAGACCTTAATCTTATCTAAGGGAGTACTGACAACTGATTGCTGCTAGAGGAAGAAGAGGTGATCTTCCTAAAACAAGGGACTTTAGATAGGCTGATGAGACTTAGTGGATGGACTTTCACTGGGGAATGGCTGGGGACATTGACAACCCAGTGGGCCTTAACAAGGATGTCTGAGTATATGGGCTCCAGTGGGGAGAGGGGCTATGGTAGGGTGCCATTAAATAAGACGGTTTGGGATGTTCTGTGTGACACACACACACACACACACACACACACACACACACACAAAATCAACAAATTTTTAAAAATTATATTTGAGGAGAAGCATAGAAATTTATGTCATGCTAATTAATAGAGGTGATAAACATTACCACTGAAATCTACCCGATGACTTTATAGACATACACAGGCACCAAGGATCCAAGTGCAACCGATTATGACTAGTAATAATCAGATGCATACAGATTAGGGATGCATGTGCCAACATCTCAGTGTTAGCAAAAAT